CGAACCGCCCGCGGCCGGCAGCGGGCTCTGCGTTCATTGCGACCCCGGTAACCCCGCGTCTGCTCCGTGCCACAGATGGAGCTGGAAGCGCTGCGCTCTATCTACGAGGGGGACGCGTGCTTCAGGGAGCTCAGCCCCGTCTCCTTCCAGTACCGGGTAAGGCGAGGCGGAGCTCGGCGAGCCGCCGCGACGAGGGCTTCGCCCTCACGTCACTCCGCTTCTAATTCGCGGTGTACCCGGGGCGCCTGAACCACGTCGGTGTGCGGTGTGGGGCACGGGCCACGTCCGCAGGCCGGTGCGTCATGATCCCCGGAGGGATGGTGCCTGACTGCACAGTGCGGCACGGGCAGGAACCTGCTCCCAGTGGTGGGCTCTTTATTCCTTGGCGAGACATCCCGCTGACTCCTCTGTGCACTGCGCAGCTAGAGCTGTCAAACTGGCCAAGGAGCCAGCCGAGAAGCACTTTACCTGCTCAGAAATGTCACTTACAGAGACTTCTGTGTAAAGCTGTGAACCTTCCTCACTGCTCAGTTAAGAGGTCCTAGGCTGTCGTAGTGAGGTAGCTGACATGCCTTGTCTGCCTGCTAAAGAGAAAATCCACAAAGGGCTTTGTGCGTGTGCACCGACAGGATCCGCTCAGGAGAGGCGTGCAGGGAGCGCTCAGCTCGAGACTGCGATTAGATTCTGGTGTGAAATGCCTGCCAGCTTTCTCAAATGTAAAGACCTGGAAGTTCTTCTGAGCGTGGACTGCAGCAGACCTTTGGACAGCCAGAGAGCTTTACTGATGAAAACTTAGGCATTATGGGACAGAAGGGAGACTTCTGAAAATGTCATATACCTGTAGTAGGGAGGAGGCATCTAAAATCTCCAGGATAACATCAGTAATCATAATGAGGTACAGGTCAGTTTAACTAATAGCAGTTGAATCCCAGTAATGTAAGACAGCCTTCCTTTACTGATAGGACTATTCTTAGTAGATTTTTGTTTCCTCAGGAGAGTAAATGTGACATGCCTACAAGTCTACAGTGTATCCTAGCTTTGGTTGTTGCTAATTTTTATTAGACAAAAAATAATTGTCATAAGTTAGGTGAACTCAATTTAAATACTGTAAAACTTAAGTGTCAGACAAAGGCAATAAGACATGAAGAAGAATTTGTGCTATGAGAAGGTATAATGCAAGTAAGCACATGAGAAGGTAGAAGGAATTGGTATGCCTTTTTTCTGAGCCTCAGGTTTTGCACATATCATGTACAGAACACATAGTTTTGGTATTTAATGGATGTGCTGTGAAATTAATATTAAAGAAAGTTTTTTTCAAATGGTGAGAAAATGTAGCAGGATCGTTTAAAGTAAGCCAGCCCAATTTCTGGGTGACACTGATCAGGAGGAGCATGGTCACGTGGCTTTCTCTTCGGAGGTGCTCAGGGCACAGAGGACACCTCCTGACAGAGCTCCCTCTTTTTCTCCCTTTCCCCCCGCTTTTTTTCCTTCTTTTTTTTCTTTTTGTTCATTAGCCGTACCTTGATTTGGACTTTTCTTCTGCCTACACTTCTTTGCATGTAATTTGCTGAACCCAGATTTTTAATATTCTCCCTTATTTCCCTCATTATAAAATTTTTGGGTGGTTTTAGAATGCAGATTTAACCAACAAGGTTGCACTAGTCTTCCAAATCCTTGCATGAAACTTTACCTGTTTATATAATAGGCCTTCGATAGCACCTGTGCTAGTTTTAAAGTTCTTTAAAAAAAGGTTTTCTTATAATTTAGCATAATTGCAGGGATTGTATTTTTAATCTGGGTCCACTAAATTGTTTTGATGTGCATGATTATTTATATTAAAGTATGCCCTTTTTTAAATGCTGTTTCTTTTACCCAGTCTCATTCTACCAACTTCTGAAATTTTTTACTACTCATTATTTCTTATAGTGAAGTACAATATCTGTAGGACTGAGAAATAAATACAGAAATTCTTATATACTATTTTTGCCACTAGTTTATTTTCATCTTTATTTCAACACTGTCTTGTGTTTTGTTTTTGTGTTACTCTGAGGTTGGTTGAGGGGGGAAAGAAGCCTTAATCTTTTCTATTCTCATATATGATGGTATAATATTTGGCTTGCAGATGTTACGAAGAAGCTTTTAAAACCAAGCATTAAAAAACCCAAACAAACAAAACTTAAAAAGAGCTTTGAATGTTTCTGCTGCTTTTCCGGGGATGGAAACTGCAGGGTAGAGGTTAATATTGATGTATTGGTGTCATAATTTTAACACCTTTCCTAGATAACAGCTTTGGTTTATGACTGATAACTTTATGAAGATAGTTGTTACCTTAAGGAGTTTGGATAGTCCTAAAGAAGTGAAAGGCTTGCGTGTTGACATTGTCATCCTTAGTAAATGGCTGGAAACTATTAATTTATAAAGTTTTTCCTTTCTCTTCAGATAGGTGAAAATGGAGATCCCAAAGCCTTTCTAATAGAAGTTTCTTGGCCAGAAACATACCCACAAACAGCACCAGTCATATCGATGGATGCTTTCTTCAACAACACAATGTAAGTATTTATGCCACCTTTATTCCCTAGCCTTCTGTGTGAGGGCTTTTTGGTTGACAACCTGTTCTTCATCTGTCTAGACTGTTGTTGAGTTTTCTGATTCCTTTCAGATCTTCAGCTATTAAACAAAGTATATTGGATAAGTTAATGGTAGAAGTTGAGGCGAATCTTGGAACTGCTATGACATACACACTTTTTGAATATGCCAAAGATAATAAAGAGGTGTTCATGGAAAATCAGCCTGTTAACACTGTGGTAAGTAGATGAATTTAGATTTTAATCTCTTGCTTTTAAAACTGAAGAAAAGAAAAAAGAAAAAAAGGTTACTACAACTCTAAATACTTCATAACCCTGTCTATAAGTTCTTAATCAGTATATTTGGTATACACATCAGTGGCTAAACAGTGACACACAGAGCATGGTGCCACGATGCTCTGTGCTTGTAATTGTTATATTCAATTGTTGTTTTGCTGTTTTATCAAAATGTTTGTGGGCTGCAGTTCTGTCCCACCGAGTAAAGTAAAAATGGAGACTTGGAGCAGAAGCAAAACTAAAGAGAGCTGCAATGGAGATTAAAGGCATCTGCTGGGGGGGTGAGGTGGGAAATTGCTGCTACCTTTCTGGGAAGCAGTGATGGCGTAAGTGCACCTCCAGGGTCTGAAATGAGTCAGGCTGGGTCTATTTGTCTCTCGCGTGTTGTGTAAGGACATTAGTGGCCATTGTGGTGCTGCTGATTTGCTTTGAAGAAGAAATGGTTTCCATGTTTGGGAAGTCCGAATCCCTTCACACTAAATCACATTCCATGGTTAGACTTAAAAAGTATAAGAAATGCCACTACAACTCTGAAAGAGAATAATTCCAGTACCCAACACTTGTTTTTTTTTTAAACTACAATCATAATTATGTGTTGATTAAAAGCTGCAGACTGTGACAGCATTGCTTCTTCCTGACAGTCAAGATATTTCAGTATGTCAAGTTCTGTAATCGTGCACAGAGGTATCTGTGGACGTGCTCTGCAAAATGTTAACCACCATTTTTATCCTTCTCAGACTTCAGTAAGCAATAGTATTGCAATTGGAACTCCCGACGTACCAGTGAGTAAAAAAAAAGACAAAAAGGAACAGTTGTCCAAAACCCAGAAACGAAAACTAGCCGATAAAACAGGTTTGTTCACTATAGTATTGTTTTGCTTGAGCACTATGAGAATCCAAGTTTTATATCAGTGACACCTTGCTAGGGTCAAAATGGGTAGTTGTTTGTTTATAAGATGCACTACTTTAAGCCTGTGGTCTCTGTTTTGCTTGATTTGGCTGGATTATTCTTGCCTGAGATGTCAGATCCTTCATGCTTTCAATTAAATGGTAGTTTTTTGGTTGAAAAACATTCAGTATTTCAGGTAATCCCACCGATGACTTTCATGTGTTCGACCTTAATTTTTAATAGCTATCTGAATAATACTGTCCTGTTGCAGAAATGAGTTGTACCCTATGACAGCAATTTCTGCATGTATTTTACCTAGCCTAATGTGTAATTGGCAGATTAAATGTTGACTGTGTAGAGGAAGTGCTCTTTGACAGAATGCATCATTGCTGGTCAGCCCAGCTCATGTTGGAGGTGCTTTCTAGATTAAATGTCAGGTGGACTGAGATGTTTTTATTTAAACAGTCACTTTAAAGAACAAGGTGTGTTTAAGACTTATCTAGTTTTGTCCTCATGGCTTTATAGTGGAAAAAATAGGATTTTTTTTTTCTCTTGTGAATTCTGTGAGTTAATTTTAAAGAAAGATATGGATTCTCCTTAGCTCGTGTACTGAAAATAAAACCTTATTCTGCAGATAATAAAGGGGAGCTTCCGCGAGGATGGAACTGGGTGGATGTAATTAAGGTAACATGACTGCATTATATGCAATATTATGAAAATACTGCCTGTGTATGTTAAAACTAATTTGTACTTATAGCTGAAGAAAACTAATCTGATTTTTTTTTCTTTCTTCCTGACTTTGTTTGGATTTGACTGTGGTGTCTGATTCATTTCTATATGTGTCCAGCATGTAAGTATTTTCAAGTTACCGTTTTTTAACATTAAAAAGGTTTGCAAGAATAGTAAGAACTGCTGCTCATTTTGCATTGTAATTTACATACTCCTCAAAGGCTTTGAAATGCTTAGTCCTTCTGAATCTACCTTTCAGAAACTTGATTTCTTTTGAACTCTGTTGGTTTAGTATTTCTTTTTTATTTATTGGGCAATTAAATTTTCATTTTATGATGAGAGAGGTTTGCTAGCCAAACACACTGCAAACATTCTGTCTTCATATGGCAACAAGATGTAAAATAAAATGAGTGGTGCTGCCAGGTTCTGGAGGGCAATGGGTAAGGAGGAAAAGGGAGCTGTTCCAAGTGAGAGCACCTTGCTGTCTCCTACAAGCCTGAGCATTCTCTGCTGCAGCTCCTCCAGTGAATAATCCTTTTCTACTGGCTCCTTCAGCACCGATTTCTTCCACCCTCTTGTTTTTGCTGATTAAGCAGAAATCAGTATAGCTGCTCGGAAATTTTGAAAGCAAACTATTTTATTTTATGCAACTGTAATTCTTGGTGTAAGACCCAGCACCAGTTCCAATTGTTAAATAGGAGTAAGTAAATGATGATGGTGGTTTTGGGCAAAGTCCTTCTGAGTTAACAGTTGCTATTTGTAGTGCATATCCTGGATTCCAGGTAGATTTTATGATAGATGCACTACATTTAATAATTATAATTTAGCTTTAAAAAGTGAGGAACAGTAAATTAATTTCTCTTTTTGTGTTGTGTAAATTACGATATGGGAATTCTCTCTGAGGTGTGTGGAGATGTTTTTTACATTATTTCATCTTTTATGTTTGGAGAGCTGGTGATGGTGTCTTCAAATTAAGTAGAAACAGTACCTTGAGGTTTTTCTGGGAGTTTATGTGTTTGGGTTTTTTTTTCTCTTTTTTTGGTGGTGGTGGTGGTTTTGGTTTTTTTTTGTTATCTTTCACATTTAGGAAATAAGCTCGTTTAGTCTTTAAGCTTAAACAATAATGTTTTGATGCTTTTCAGTCTTTTGGTACAGTAGCACAGTCTGTATTTTAATTAAATATACTTGTGTTCTGTAAGATGGAGAGAATGTTCTTGTTTCCTAATAAATGGAATGACAGTCTAAACTTTGAATACTTTCTTTTTGTGTCTCTTTTATAGTTAAGCAAAACTGGTTCTAAAGATGATGAATAAAGGACTTTGGTACAAGGAAACTCCACCTTTTAATACAGTGCAATTTTGGGTCACCATCTTTCTCTTAATAACTTTCATATTTGTTGAAGTAAACATTTTATAAAACTCAATTTCCTAACTTGCAAACCTAGTCACAGAAGTGGACCATGTGGTCTTCTTTGGGGAAAAAAAAAAAACACACACAAAAACAAACTTGCCTTAAATGAAGGTTAGAATGTGACAAAGGTTATAGAGAGCTAATGTGGTGAAGTGAGTAGTGCTATATGCAGTGTATATTAATTTATATTTTACTCTGTAGTAAAATCCTGTTATAGTGAACCCAATGATACTGTAAACATTTCCTGATGTTCTTACTCCAATTGAAGAAAAAAGCGCTATAACAGTGATTGGTCACTTGGCAGCATAATTCATCAAAATAAATTATTCCATGGAAACAAGACCTTTGTCATTTATTTATCTAATATGAATGTAGAAGGAGAACATAAAAATTGTTACCTTGCAATACAGACTAGAGTTTGTGGTCCCGTTTTCACTGGTTACTGGCTGAAAGAGTAAATACTAGTGAAAGCCAGGACGCCTCTTCTAGTCTGCTTGAAAATGAGTGATTCTGGCAGGGGTATGTGTTCTTTATTCTCCGTGGTGCCCAGCTGTCAGTCTTTCTCCAGTGTGAATCTTTACAGAAGGCTGGATGTCTGAGGGGGGGAAAGATGCTTTCTTGCACGTGTCTCAATGAGTGCTGGCATTTTGTAGCTCTTCCGCTGGAGAAATGGACATTCCTTGGAGGGGTTTGCCGACTGAGTGGGTGGGCAGTGAAGTCAGCACTCTGCCATATGTGTTGGGTGAACTTTTTTTTTCCCCTAATCTGATCTCTTGTATCAGAAAGAGAAATGATCTTTACTGTACAAACAGTTACTCAATACAAGATGCCTTAATGTCCTTTATTATTTTTGTTTATTTTGAGATGAACTTTAATAAATGCCTATTTATCTGCTGTGGTATGTGGTTGGATTTTTTTTTAAATGTGTATTGCCTGCTGCACTTTTGGGGCCACATATGTACTTGCAAAGGATTTTCTATTAGAAAGAAAACAACCTTAAAAACTGGTGGAAGAACTGCATCTTCCTTCTCTGGGTATATGTTTACATGTTCTTCAGGGTAGCTGTGTTTGTTATTAATAGGAGGGTCAGTCACCCCACGGAGAGTCACAGGAGACTCTCTCTTACTCAGCCTGTCCAGTGTCTGTGTGAAGAGTGCACCCCGCTGCACACATGCAACAGCCTTTGCTGAGATACCCCTTAGAGGCACAGGCTGGATGCTCTGCTCAGCAGTGGTGCCAACAGCCTTTGTAGCCAATAGACAGTAGTTTATGCAAACATCATATTGGGACTCCAGCTGATGGCATGGAAGTGTTTATGTGACTGTCTATGTCAAGAGAGCTTATATGCAACATGCATTAATATAGTTCTCTTAAATTCTCTTAAATTATTTCTGTATTGCCAAAGGAGGATATATTGCAAAATTATTGGCCATCTTCATGAATATTTTTGTATCTATATGTAAAGAAAAAAAAGTTATATGATGTTGTGACTGCAGGTGAAAGAAAAAATTTTAATTTGTTCTGTGGTTTTCACTCTTCCGAAGAGGTCTGGAAGAAATGTGGTCTGTACTGCTGTCATCCAACAAGAAGCTGTAGTTTGTACTGAAACACTTGAGCTACAATTGGTAAATGTATGTGTTTCCTCAGTAAGGGAAACACTATTAATTCTTAAAGAATTCTTAATTTTGAGAAGCTGTGGTTTCCTTTTGAACTCAACTCACATTGAGTAAAAGCTTGTAAAGCACACCAAGGAGGACTTTTTCCAAATGATGCAATCTTGCCTTTGACATAAACTGGAGGCTGATGGCTGCAATCTGAGCAGGATTGTCTGGTGGGGAGTAGCACTGCAGGGAGAAGCTGCTCTGGTAGTACATGGTAGAGCTTGTGACAGGGAAGGGCGTTTAGCTTTAGTTTCTGCCTGCATTGGAATTTCTCTGTTCACAAGTTCTCCAAGGGGAATTGACTTGTCTTTGCTAGTATCCATAGTGCATAAATCAAGTTGCCATGACAATTTATCTGAACAGATTAGTTAGGGAGGGTGAGTGAAGGACAAATAAGATCTCTTGCGTTTATAGTGTTACTGTGTGTAACAAAAAACTTGTTAACCTTGTGAAATGCCTGATTTTTGAGCTCCTAGTCTGCCCATAAATCACATGCTCTTCTGAAGATACGCAAGCGGTCTTCTGTGGTTCTGTTAGTAAACATGTTAGTTTGGAAGTCTATTTTCAAGGGGAAGACTTTGCACTGGAAATTTTTGTATTGGTTCTTTGCTTCTGTGTAAATTTTGAAAGGTAATTTGTGTTGTTAAACCATTTTCTCCTATGACATGATGGTTGGAACAGGGTCCTTTCAAGAATCTAAGTACGTGATAGTATGGAGAAGCCTGAGCACTGACAGCAGAGGGGAAGGAAAATGTAATGATTCTTACCAAGAAAGGGACAACTATAAATAGAGATCATGATTACTGAGGGAATTCCAAACACTTGAAAAATACACCACCACCACTACCTTTTTCTCTTTAAGTAAAAAACCACTAGCAGTGGAAAAACTGTGGTTCGTGCTTTATTTCTGTTGGGCAAGAGTCTCTTGATTGTAGGGCTCCATCACCTATTTAAAGTCACAGGGTTTGCAGCAGGGCTTTGGTTGGCCTGAGCAGACAAGTGTCCATACCAGTAATGGTAAAGTAAAAGTCGCAAGTGTCTAAAAAGTGCAGGATGATTCAAAAGGGATTTGTTGATTTTCAAAATTTTCTGTACTGCATGGATAATTTCCTTACTTGTGAGTCGAAAAGGCTTTTAAAAAAATAAATCTATAGTGTTGCAGTAACCATATGGAAATCTCATCTGATCAAGCACAGCTTAATTTTTTTCCTTTTTTTCAAATTTGTCTCTGAGAAAAGTTTTCCTTGGGACAAACTTGTGAAAAATTGAGGTGGCAATACCAATGCTTAAATGAAGTTTAGGTATTTTAACTTAAATTTAACATAAAATATTTTTTCTTTTCAGTATTTTAGTACATATTTGAATTAATATTCTTAATGTCTTTGAACATTAATTTTAAGCAATGCATTTTTTTTCTTTCAAAATTCTTCTCAGGAACCTATCGTTTTGTTGTTTGCTTGTTGTTAAGGACTTGGGGAGTTTCTCCCTCTCCTCTACCCCTTTTTTTTTTTTCCCTTTTAACAGTAGTTATGGGAATAATGGAGACTGCCTTTGAGTACGTTGGGTGGAGGGGTGACAGCCGTGATTAGTCCATACCATGTACCTCGCACGTCCTGCTCACCCCCTTGGTGAGCCTGGCACAGCTGGCAGTGAAATCAAGGCTGCCAATGTCTGCTGGTCGTACATGGGGTGGATAGATAAAGCGTGCCCAACTGGTAATCAGTTACGTTTTGGTGAGTAAAAGAACAGCAGGAAAAAGGCCAGCATTTTTTCATATAGGACCTTTGACAGAAGCTCAAATGTAGGAAGACTATACTTCTTTCATCTGAGGCAATACAAGTGATTTTGGGTTTTACTGTGGACTTTGTGCTGTGAAAGTCATCAAACTGGTCTGAACCAGAAATAGGTCCCCTGTGGAAGTTATTTCACAGGATCACAGAATGGTAGGGGTTGGAAGGGTCCTCTGGAGATCATCTAGTCCAACCCCTCTGCCAAGGCAGGTTCATCTCTGGCAGGTTACAGATGGACACGTCCAGGCAGGTTTTGAAAGTCTCCAGAGAAGGAGACTCCACTACCTCTCTGGGCAGCCTGTTCCAGTGCTCTGTCCCTCAAAGTAAAGTTTTTCCTTGTGTTTAGGTGGATCTTCCTGTGTTCCAGTCTGTGCCTGTTGCTTCTTGTCCTATCACTGGGCACCACTGAAAAGAGACTGACCCCCTTTGACACCCACCGTTTAGATATTTATAAGCATAAATCCTTCAACTATGTTTTGTGGCTTGTAGTAGGGTTCCTAAGCACATGTAGTTAATAGCAGAATGAAAGAGGGAGGAAATGTTAATTCAACAGAGAAAATACCAGAAGTGTGAGATTCCTGGGTGGACTGGAGGAGGAAGTGGAAGGGGAAAGGCATCCTTGTATGCAAAACTAGAAGAGCATAGGGGATAAATCTTTATTGTTGCAGGACAGTACAATAAAACTGTAAAAACAAAACAAAGTTAAAATAAAATAAGCATAAAACAAAAGCTAAGCTTGTGGTTGCAGAGCTGTCAATTCTGGCGTGAGGTTGGTTTAGTATGGGTAAAAGACAAGAGGATTGTAGGTTTTCTGTCACTGTCACATATGTTTTCACCAACATGAATCTGGCTTCGTCTCAGAATGTGACTGCTACTTGGTTTTGAGAAGAATTTCTGTTTCTCTGACTGTTATCCTTTCTCTTGCTCTTTCTGAGCCCATGGAAGCAATCTCCCAAAGTCTGGTGTACTCTCAGAAATTAAGACAGATCAGATTAACTGGGCACTGGGAAATCACGTTAAAATATCTGGTGTGGGTGAAAGAAATAATTGTTTCTCTTCTGTATGCTTAATTCAGAGCAATGTGAGGAGGGACTCCAAATGGCTGAGTTACATGAGAGATATGACAATCTATGTCCAGACTTCAGTGCCCTATGTCAGACTGAAAGTTTGTCTACTTTAAAGTTTTACATAGCTGTCCCATGCTTCTGTGTCAAGAGTATTCTTGGATCCTGCAGTAGTCTGTGTTTTAAATAATCATGTTTACAACAGAGCAGAACATTGAAAATTTACTGTGGTTGCCTACTCTAAGTTGCTTATGTTGTGAGATAGGATAAGGTCACAGCAATGAGAGAAAAACCCAAACTATAGCTGCAGAGCCTTAGGGGAGTGGAAAGAGGATGTGTGGGTGTCTCCAAAGGCGTCATTTCTTCTGTGGTATCTTTGTTACTGGCAATGATCAGGAAAAGGGAAAGCTCAGTCTGGGACAAGTTTGGAAGATACTCAGGAAAGCATAATCTTTTCCTTCTCAATGGTCTGTTACAGTATCACTGAGAGGTGATAAACATAGTCTTGCATGGAGTCACTCTTCAAAGCAAGATCTTACTTTAAATCAAGTAAGCATCTCTGTCAGTGATGCATCTTATGATTTCCTGCAGGAAAAAACATACATGAAGAAATCTATAGATGAAGTTGCACTATAGGGAACTATTTGATCTCTACTTATAGAGGAAACTGGTTGAATTGCCCTCCAAAAGAGATTTTATAATAGTACATGGGAAATATGTCAGCCCACTGATAAAGAGTACATAGCCACTATAGATGGTTAACAAATTTGCACAGCATTTTCAGTTTTATATATTTCTCTGCATATCAGCACTAGAATATTACCAGGTTTTATTTAACT